GAGCCGGGGGCACGGGGACGCCCCGCGCGAGAGGGGGGGGGACCACACCACCATCGGGGAGACGTAAGACCCGGGTACGGGGGACTCGGAAATCCCCGACGAGGTCGTCAAAAAAATGACGAGGCCGAGCCTGCATTTTGACGAGGCCTCCCGCTGCAGACATCCCACAAAACTCCTCCTCGTCAAAATCCGAGTCGCGGTCGTCAAAAAACGATGGCGAACCCGAGTCCTGGCAAACCCGGGTCTTACGCTCCCCCGACACCAGGGGGGCCCCGCCCCGGCTCCTCCCGCTGGCGGTCCCTGGTGGTGCTGGTGTCGGTGTTGCGTGCTCCTACAGTCATCGGCCTGACCTAAGGAACGATACATCAGGAACGAAGCCCCTTTGTTCCAAGGAATAGCGCACAGGGAACGATGAACAAATAGTGCATAACGCATAGGGAGCAATAAACAACGCATGCAAGCCTGAGGAACGACCGAGCCCCTTTTGAAGAGTAAGTGTCCCTTATTCAGGCCGCTCACTGTACCCCGCCTCCGCTGGATGGGTACGCCGGTGATCCTCGCGAAAGCCTCGCGCATGGGATCGTTCCCCCCCCCCCCCGTGGTCGTGGTGTGGCCCTCTGGGCGCGGCGCGGTGGAGGGTGCCAGTGCCCCCCCCGCCCGCCCCCCCCCTGTGGGTGTGGGGTGGTTCGTCGTCGTCGTGGTCGTCGGCGTCCGTCGTCCGTCGTCGTCGTCGTCGTCGTCGTCGTCGTCGTCGTCGTCGTCGTCGTCGTCGTCGTCGTCGTCGGCGTCCGTCGTCGTCTTCGTCGTCGTCTTCGGCGTCGTCGTCGGCGGCAGCGGCGGCGGCAGCGGCGGCGGCGCTGGCGTCGGCGTCGGCGTCGGCGTCGGCGTCGGCGTCGACGTTGGCGTCGGCGTCGGCGTCGTCCCCCACCCAGCCCATCTGAAGGGGGGCGAGGGCATGTGGAACCCTGGGACCCATCCCGTCTCGGAAAGAGGGGGGCTTCCGAACCCTCGACAAGGAATCATATATGAACACATCGCCTCGCAGAGGCAACCACAACACGGACACGTTGATCAGCCCGTGAGCTTCTGCCATGCGCACCTCCGAGACGTGCATTCGTTGTGTTCCGAAGCCAAATGCGTGTTGCAAGTTTTGTTGGCCGAACCCGTTTGTCGACCGGAGCCCCAGCTTGACATCGATTCGTTGTTTCAATCGCTAGCGCATTTCAGGCACAGCATGAGCATGAACAACTCCTCGTCCGCATCTCACTCTGGACACGCTATCGGACACTGCCTGTGTCACGCAGACGGCGTGAGATGCGTTACTTGGGTGGCAGTTCAAAAAAGCACCGAATTCGCATTCGACACATTCAAACCAGTCGCAACCGTTGAAAATAGCAACACGTACCTATACGCCTTCGGGTGATAAGGAGGTTGCGTGTGTGGGAGGGGGGGACAACCAACTGTCGACAACTGCGATGTTTGTGAAGGTGTCGATACACTTGCAAGCTGGTGACGATGCATGATGACGATGCTGGTGACGATGTATGATGGAGATTGCGATTGCGACGCTGCATGGCAGCCATCGGGGCACCATTGTGACACCATGACCATGTGGATACCATCGGGACACCGCCATGAACATCTGTTGATCGATCTCACTATAGATCTCACCGTCGGTCACTCTATCAATCTACCAGTCTCACTACAAACCGCTCTCACTATCCATCTCACAATCTATGCGTCTCATTATCGATCGGTCTCACGATCCATCGATCTCACTATCTATTCATCTCTCGATCTCACGGGGCAGCCATCGGGACAGCCGTCGGGGCACCATCATGCCACCATCGGGGCACCATCTGGACACTCAGGACACACTCTGGGCAGCATGTGGACACCATCGGGACACCATGGGACTCCATCGGGACACCATCGGGGCACCATCGGGACACCATCGGGACACAATCAAAGCACCATCGGAACACCATCGGGACACCATCGGAACACCATCGGGACACCATCGCGACACAATCCGAACACTGTCACGACACCATCAGAAAGCCATGGGGACACCATTGAGACACCATTGGGGAACCAACGGAACGCCATTGGGACACCCCCGGGCCACCGCCGGCCAACCGGGCGGAGAGTCATTTGGCCTGATGTCGCCCTAGCAAAGGCGACGCCGTCGAGACACCATCAGGAAACCATCGGGACAACATCGGGACACCCTCGGGCCACCAACGGCCAACCGGGCCGAGAATCATGTGGCCAAATTTCGCCATAGCAACGGTGGATTCATTCCTCTCGGCCATCCACACAGCTTCGACTCGCCCGCACGCACGACAAGAACAAGAAACCGAAATCAATTTCCTGGTGGTGGGTCTCCGTTTCACTTCGATCTCATTCGCCAACTTCCGATCACGTCATCTTGGAATGACCCCATTGTCGTCCCACCCTTACGTACCTCTTTATCACACATGTTAGCGGCAGTGTCCAGACATAGCCATTATACGGGGTCGCTGGTATCTGGAATCAGTACGATGTGTCGGCACGTGGTTTCGCAGTTGATGTTTTGCTGACTGATTTGCTGAACGTGAACGACCTGTATGTGTTGATCGCCACGCAGTCCTGTAGTGTTCCGCCAGGTGTTCCAATTTGCTGTGCCAACTGGCCTACGCGCCGGGTTTGACGAAGTCGCTCCCAGGTCCAAATCGTCGGTTCTTCTTTCGAAGATCATACGGCAAAGCTTCGTAAATACTTCGCCCAATCACAGCACCGCAGATTGCATAGTGAACTTGCTCTTCGCAGGACGTGACGAGGATCGTAAGGCATACCAGCACCGTGCGTCTGCATGCCTGCGCTTTGCTTCCGTATGTGCAGGAGCGGATCGCACGTATCCAACAAGTTTCCAGCACTCTTCGGAGTCGGCGCTGACGCACAAGCGGATCATCTTTTGGAGCCGAGGAGCCTCCGATACCTGCAGAGGGGAGTAAGCCGAGTTTTCTCGTGCACTCCTCCTCGCCAACAGAGCTCAGTGTTGAAGAGTTCTCGCAATGTTGTTTAGCAGCGTCTCCCAGATTGCTTGTCAGGTTGTTGGAGCAACGACAATGGGGTGGTCACTACTGGGGGGATCGCCACTTCTTCGAGGAAACGAAACTTCCTCGAGGAGGTGGTCCACAAAGAACACTCCAGAGCCTCACAGAGCGATCCCACACGTCCAAACACATCCTCGATTCTCCGTTCTGGAACCTCAACTCCCAGGAACTAGTGACCCGCCTAGTGGCGACCCCCCCTCGCCATCGCTCGGACGTCCATTCCCTGTTTGTTTCGGTTCGTGCGCGGTTTTTTCGCTGAGTGATCAAGGATGCTCCTCGATAGTCCTCGCCGAAGGGAAAATGCACACGTCCGAGCGATGCCAAGGCCTAGTGGTGACCCCCCCTGGGCACCACCCTAGTCATACCTTGATGCTGTGGGCCCGTGCCTGCAGCTGTCCAGCACCAGGACTCCCTCCCGAGGGGACGGCGTGACGCGCGTGCCAGCGAGGGACTCAAATATAGAGCCCACGTCTCCCCCCCTCGATCCGTGCGGTCAGAAGGATGAATTCAGCGGAGAAAGATGCGTGGGGGAAGAGGCGGAGGAAGACGCCAGGGCGGCGAGGAGGACGCGGAGGAGGACGCGGAGGAGCAGGAGGAGGACGAGGAGGAGGAGGAGGAGGACGAGGAGGAGGAGGAGGAGTATCAGGAGAGGGAGAAGGTGACGATGAGCGGAAGTGGATGTGCAGGGCGGAGGGAAGACGGATGAGGGAGAAGAGGGAGAGAAGAGGATGCGAAGGAAGAGGACGAGAAAGTCAGCGGACGGAGGCAGTGGGTCGGGCTGGTCGCTGCGTTTGGGCGCTCCCTCTCAGGAAGTAAGCAACGGCCAGCCTCGGGCAAGCTTGTGCCTCGCGCATGCGGTGCCTGAGGACAGGGTATGCCCTACCTCTGGCCCCGGTCGAGGTAGCGGTGGGGAGGGGGGGTGAGGGGAAAGGGGAGGTGGAGGGGGCGGGAGAGTAGGGTACAAAGGTGTGGGAGGTGAAGGTGGTAGCGGGGAGGGAGTGGTATGGCACATTGTCCGATATGCTCGGAATTATATTGTGAACAAGTCGTTTGGACACCCTACCCCGAAACTTCTATCAACATACGTTGCAGAATGTGCCGCTCCAGTGCCCTCCCGTTTCCTCCTTCTCCTCATTCTCCTCGTCCTCTGTTCCATCTGTGTCCTTCTCATCATCTCCCTGCGCTCTCCTCCTTCTCTGCCTCAAACTCTTCCGTCTTTAGAGGAAAGAAAAAATAATACATTTCATACGTACTTCGGCTGCATCAGCGGCCCAACGGTTACGGTCGCTCATGCAGCCCGTGGCGGTGCAGCCACGCCGTGCGCCGCCCCCCACGGCGCGGATTTCTTGGATCTGCGCGGAGCCCCCCTCCCTGGCACGCGGAGCGCGCCAGGGGCGGCACTGGAGGCGCCGCCAGGAGGTTCCTGCGCAGATCCATATTCGCGAGGAGCTCCAACAGTTTATGTCTGTGCAGTTGTTCCTTCTTCGATTCTTGTCCCGTGCCCCTCCCTCACGACGATCCTCACCCCCCGCTCTGCTCCCCACGCAGCAGGACACCCTGAGGCACCCGTGGGCAGTGGGGGGTGCTAGGCCCCGCCTGCCCTCTCGCGAGCAAGAGCCAGCCACGTCCCCGGCAGCTGTAAGCTTCGGGCTCCTTTGGGGGAACGGGGCGCGTCGAAGATCTCTCGAGAGGAGCGTCGAAACCGATCGGCCCCGCAGGGGGGTGTACCCGCCATCGCTGGGACGTCCATTCCCCGTGCCCTCGTCGGCTTCGTGCGTGCGTTTCCTCGCAAGATGGCCAAAAGGTTCCTCGAAGGCCCTCGCCGAGAAAAATGCACACGTCCGAGCGATGCCAAACGCAGGGGGGTGTAAGGAGCACAACCCCCGCGTCGCAGACGCCGCACCTCGTCCGTCGACATCCCGGCACAGATCGGCACCCAGCCCAGGTAGCTGTCCATGGGCTTCGCGTCGGCGTCCTATGCGCCGGGAGGAGGAGGAGGAGGAGGAGGAGGAGGAGGAGGAGGAGGGCGGGGAGATCGAGGATCGCGAGGCCGAGGAGGACATAGACAAACCAACACGAGGACCAGGACGAGGAGGAGAACGACGAGAACGCGAACGAAGACTTCTCGGCCGCGGCTTCCCGTTCTTAAGTCTTACGTCTGCCTCCGCCTGCTGGCAACGGGCACGCGGTGTCCTATGGCCACCCCGAGTGGCATGCGCGGCAGAGAAGCGTCGCTTCCCTCTGCCTCCATGGGGGCAGGCTACATACGGAGGAGAAACTCTCCAACGGCAGACGTGGCAGATGTGAGGGATGGGGAACCGCTGGCCACAGAACCCAGGAGGCTTGCAGCCGAAGGGTGGCTCAGAATGTGGCTAGGGGAACAAAAAGTGACATAAACATAAAAACTCGGAGGTCCGCGCGGATTTCTCGGATCGACGCTGGACCCCCCTCCCTGGCGCGCGGAGCGCGCTAGGGGCGGCGCCGGAGGCGCCGCCAGGGGGGTCCAGCGCGGATCCGAGAAATCCGCGCGGACCTCCGCGTTTCTATGTTCATGCCATTCTTCGCTCCCCTAAAGAATGTCGCAGTCGTTGGCCATCGGTGCATCCCCAAAAAACAAAAGGACTCGCCAGAGGATCTCGTTGGGCGAAATCCTGCTTCAGCGCCCCTCCGCTTGTAGATGAGAGAGAACTGTGCACATACACCGACTCTGGCCAGGCCCATCCTGCGCCCCGTATCGGTGCCTACGCCCTCCTGCCTCGGCCAGGAATGTATATATGCACCGATCTTGGACCAAGGATGGGCCTTGCCAGGATCGGTGCACGTGCATGGTTCTCTTCGCCCGATGCGCCGTCCTCCGAGCCAGCCTCCGAGCCATCCGCCCGACCAGCTCGGTCGCGGCCGGCACCCGCACTGAAATCCTCGGCATCGCTTTCACCGACCGCACCGCAACTGCAATTTTTTGTTTTGGTCTGCGGGTCGGGGGGTCGGGAGCGGGCCCCTTCCGGTCAAGAGCTAAACAGGGCGCGAGTAGCCCTAATTCCTAGTTGGGGAGGCAGGGCGCGGGCGGGTGGGGCCTCAGGCGGCCGGAGGGCTCAGAGTACAGGCGGTGCCGAAGATCTTGCACAGGACAAGGTACGCCACGGACTGGAGAAGGGGGCGACCGCAACTGCAAAACAATCCATCGTCATAACCATTGCCAGCTACGCCAGGAGAGTGCCGGGCGCAACTAACGAACAAAAAAAAAAACAGCCAGCTCGAACACACCAGCGCGCCCCGCCCACCCCCAGCCCACCCCTCCCGTACCTAGGGGAACGCACAATGACATGAACATACAAACTCGGAGGTCCGCGCGGATTTCTCGGATCGGCGCTGGACCGCCCTGGCGGCGCCTCTGGCGCCGCCCCTGGCGCGCTCCGCGCGCCAGGGAGGGGGGTCCAGGGCCGATCTGAGAAATCCGCGTGGACCTCCGAGTTTTTTATGCATATATTATTGTTCGTTCCCCTAATTTACCAGCCTGGAACAGATCCCTCTCCCTATGCTGGGCACCTCCTCATCACGATGCCAATCTCAGGGATTCCCCTATTTTCTGAGGGCGAATCCCTAAGATTGTCATCGCCTTTTGGCGTGTCAGTCTTGGGGATAGGGATACATTCGAGGCTGGTAACTAAAGTCCTCGTGGACCTCCGAGTTGTTATGCTTATATTATTGTTCGCTCCCCTAGTATCTGAGCGTCTGATGCGCCGTGGCCGCACAGTAATCGGTAGGAAATGCATCATATGGGGACGAAAGCGTCCCTAGAAAATCGTTACTATTCTTCGCTCCCCTAAAATCCGCGTGGACCTCCGAGTTTTGATGCTCATATTCTTGTTCGTCCCCCCAAAATCATACTCTGGCCATCGCTCGGACGTCCATTTCCTGTGTTTTCTTCGGCTTCGTGCGTGGTTTTTTCGCCAAGTGATCAAGGATGCTCCTCGATGGTCCTCGCCGACGGAAAAATGCACACGTCCGAGCGATGCCAAGTACTAGCTGGTGCCAGCGAGCGTTGCCGGCGGGACCGGCGCGCGGCCTCAAACGAGAGGCGGGCCGCCATAGCCGCGGACGGCAGGGGGCCCGGGCGCGCGGCGGCACTTCCTCTGACGAGCTGGCGAAGAGAGAAGCTCTGCGGCCGCGCCCCGCTGGCCATCGCTCGGCCGTCCACTCCCTGTGCTTTTGTTTCGGTTTCGAGCGTGGTTTTCTCGCTCGAGGGAGGATCCAGGATGCTCCTCGATGGTCCTCCCCGAAGGAAAAATACACACGTCCGAGCGATGCCAGGCCCCTGGCTGGCCATCGCTCGGACGTCCACTCCCTGTGCTTTTTTCGGTTTCGAGCGTGGTTTTCTCACTCGAGGGAAGATCCAGGATGCTCCTTGATAATCCCCGCCGAGGAAACGTGCACCTGTCCGAGCGATACCAAGGCCTAGGCGGGTACAGAACTCTGGGGGCGAACCTGGGGTTCGCGACGAAGGCAGCATGCCGCTCGCTGGCGCACGGCCCAGCTTCCCATGAGCACCCGCGGGAGAAAAACATGCACCGCGCCAGAGCGGGAGCACAACTTTCGGGGAAGCAGCGCGCGGCGCTTGAGCGAACAGCATCTCGCTCTCCTGGGCGCGGCGCCGGATCCAACAATTTGGCGACCAGAACGTGCGTCGCGCCCACGCGAGAGCTCACCGAGCCTTGCACACGGGCCCATGACCTTCAAAGGGCGCCCAGATGCTGCCCAGGGGCAAGACACATGTAAATGGGTCTGGTGAGGGCCACCCGCGAGGCCTCTTTCTAGAAACGTTCGAGGGCCTGCAAAACAAGCCCCAGGCAGCCGAACGCGGTTCAAGATGGCTCTATAAGGGCCTCGCAGGGGCCAGACACAGCCCCAAGAGGCCACCAAGTCAGTCGAGGATAGCTCTACGAGGGCTTCAAGACGGCCTGGCAGCCCTCCAGGGAGCCTCAATAGAGGGCATCATGGCCCCAGAACAGCCTCACTGGCCTCTATTCCAGACGGCCCCAAGAGGCCTCCCAGGTCTTCCAAAGGTTCCGAAAAAAAACACCCCAAGAGGACCTCAAGACAACATAAAGAGGGCTTCGGTAAATCCCAAAGGATGGTATTAGCACAGACCAAGAGGGCCTTTCAAACAACCCATGGAGCGTTCGACTACGATATTGATGTCCAGAAAAAGCGACGTGGATGAGGAGGAGAGGAGGAGTGGACGGAGAACGATGAGTGAGGAAGCGGGGGGGACAGGAGCAGGGGGCAGAAACGGATAATCACTCGACGCGAAATTCCCAATTTGTGCATCTCCTACTCTTGTCACGTTCGGCTGTCGAACTCGGTCTGTGAGCATCTGGGTGTGAGAGCGAGTCCGCGTAGAAGACGGGCGCGACAACGACGACGACAACAGCGACGACTCCCTTGACATCCTCCTCCTCTGGGAACCTGTAAGGAGAGACTAGGAAAACACAAGTGGAAGAGCGACGGAACATCGGACCACCTAGAGGTAGAAAACTTGTTTTCAAACTTTGCCAGAGCTTCGCGGCTTGAAGGCGGATAGTTTTCAAATTATGGCTCTCGCCTCAACGCCGCGCGCATTCGTCGTTGCTACATGGAAGAGCTTGACGGATTCAGGGCGGTTCGTTTTCAAACTGTGGCTCTCGCCTTAGCGCCGCGCACATCAAGTTTTAAACCATGAAGGGGTGTTGCGGATTCCAATGGTCAGCATACCAGAAAGATTGTTCTGGAATGCCTCAGGAGTGTGAGGGTGCAACAATTACATTGGTTCGCGGTGTTGAAGTCCCAAGGATGGTAGTCTGGCAAAGTTCAAGATCGTTTGGACACAGCAATGAGGTTGACCCGTGGAGGAGTCCCGTGAATTGTGTTCGGGCGCCCAACGAGGCAGTTCCCCCAGTGGAAATGAACCATTGAAGGGGCCGATGAAGGGGAGTTTGGAAAGAGGGTGTATGTCAACATCGGTGATGGGCCTGGGGTTTACACTGGTCCTCCTCCTCCTCCTCGTCCTCGTCCTTGCACTCATCGGCGTCATTTTCGTGTTCCCCCGCTTTCTCGTCGTCGGGTCGTCGTCATCGTCGTCGTCGTCGTCGTCCGTCGTCGTCGTCGTCGTCCCCCTCCTCCTCCTCATTCTCCTTCTCCTCCTCCTTCCCTCGCCCTCACGTGGGCCCCAGGGATGGCCCGAAGAGGCCCCCCACGGTCACGCCCTTGCTCCCAAAATTTCTCTCTGGTCGCCCTGGTTGCCCGCGTTGTTTCACTATGTGTGTCGCTTCGTCCCTTCTCCCGCCAACTCTCGTGGGCAGATTTCTGCATGGGCTGGCGGGGATACGCGATGTGTGAAGAATACGCTGCTTTTATTCACAACCCTCCTGTGTTGGGCTCCCGTTCTGGATAGAGCACTGCGGTCGCACACCTCCTTCTTCTCCTCATATCCCCTCCTCATGCCTCCTCCTGCGTTGCTCCTGGGTGGCTGCGGTCTGGGCAACTGTCGCCACGTTCGTGGGCTCCTGGGGGGGGGCACGGCGGAGTAGGGAAGTACGCGCATCCAGCCGGAGACCTCGCGGCTCCCTGGGTGGCCGCGAACTGCGCGACTGTCGCCACTTTCGTGGGCTCCTGGGAGGCCAAGCGGAGTGCAAGAGTACGCGCATCCAGCCGAGACCTTGCGGCTCCCTGGGTGGCTCTGAACTGGACAACTGTCGTCACGTTCGTGGGTTCCTGGGGGGCACGGCTGAGTTGGGAAGTACGCGCATCCAGCCGAGACCTTGCGGCTCCCTGGGTGGCTGCGATCTGGGCTAGTGTCGCCACTTTCGAGTGCTCCTGGGAGGCACGGCGGAGTAGGGGAGTACGCGAATCCATCGAGACCTCGCAGCTCCCTGGGCGGCCGCGAATTGCGCAGCTGTAACAATTCTCGTGGGCTCCTGGGGGGCGCGGCTGAGTAGTTCAGTGCGCGCATCCAACCGAGACCTCGCGGCTCCCTGGGCGGCTGCGAACTGCGCAACTGTCGCCACTTTCGTGGGCTCCTGGGAGGCCCAGCGAGGTTGGGAGTACGCACATCCAGCCGAGACCTTGCAGCTCCCTAGGGTACTGCGATCTGGGCAACTGTCGCCACTTTCGTGGGCTCCTGGGAGGCCCAGCGGAGTGGGGGAGCACGCGGACCACGCCGAGACCTCGCGGCTCCCTGGGGCGCAATCGTTGTCACTGTCGTGGGTTCCTGGGAGGTCCAGCGGAGCAGAGTGTCCTTGCAATATGTTCATTTGTATGGCGCGTTCTTCTGAATAGTCGACTCGCGTCGAGAAGGGGTCGGATACGCCTCGGGTAATCAATGACATCTCATACGGCCCAGTGGAGAGGAAAGCCCCCAGGGGCTAACATAAATGCATCGCCTTGCATTGAGACTCAATGGGAAACCGATGGGCACGGGCTGACCCGAGTGGCTCACGAAGACAACAGGTCAAACAGTACGACTCTTGATATTTCATGGGTCAATGCCCTAAAGAATGTCATCTTCAACCCAATGGTTCTGAAGGAGATCAGATGTCCCGTACAAGTTCCCAGGGAATCCACGGTAATGCTGAAGATGCCTTCAGGAACCTAGCTGGTTGTCCGAAGAGCCGGAACGATTTCCCGGGAGGGGGAGGAGTGCGGCTCTAGATACACAATCATAGGCACGCATGTCTGCGTCTGTATATATATGTATATATATAGATGTGGGTGGGCATGGTTCGTCGTGGGAATATCGTTGACGGTGTGGCTTTCTTGCTGTGCCAATGTAGACGCTGGTTTCTGATACTGGGTTAATCGTGTCAGTGGCAGTTGCACTAGTAGGTCGTGGGAAGACGAGTGGGAAAAGAAGGGGGATGCGGGAGGCTAAACGTACGAAGAGGAGGAGGAGGAGGAGGAGGAGGAGGAGGAGGAGGAGGAGGAGGAGGGGTCGGGATGAGGAGGAGACGGTGGAGGGTATGGGGTGGCCGTTGCCCGAGCAAACAGGAACACTGCTCAGGACGCTGGGAACAACGCCAACAAAGTCCAGACTATTGTCGCTGTCGTCGCGGGCGCACTCACAAACATAGCGCCCTCCTCTCCTCTCCGCTCCACGCAAGAAATGTGGGCTGGTCCCCTCCAATCCCCCACGCGTCCTCTGTGAGGACCCGATGGGAGCCCGCCAGCCCGCTCGGGGCGTACGGGTATCGTGACCAGTCTCCTGCTCTAGCCTCTTCCAATCTCCACCATCCATCCTGCTGCTCCTACTCCCTTCTACTCCACCGCCTCCCTTCTCCGTACTACTCTGCCCCTCCTCCTCCCAGATCCCCCTCCCTCCTCCTCCTCCTCCTCCTCCTCCTCCTCCTCCTCCTCCTCCTCCTCCTCCTCCTCCTCCCCCTCCTCTTCCTCCTCCTCCTCCTCCTCCTCCTCCTCCTCCTCCTCCTCCTCCTCCTCTCAATCCCTTCTCCTCCTCCTCCTCCTCTTCCTCCTCCTCATCCTCCTCTTCTTTCCTCCTCTTCCTTCTTCTCTTCATCCCTCTTCCTCCTTCTCCGCATCCCTCTTCCTCCTCCTCCTCCTCCTCCTCCTCCTCATTCCGACTCCTAAGATCGTCAGCGCCATAGACACAGGAGTGCGCGGTCTTGAGCCAAACGGGGGGTGCATGGACATGGGCGAAGCCCTCGCGCCAGGTCCGTCCCTCCCAGGACCGATCTCCCCGCGACGACACGCCAAACAGGCCCTGAACAGGATTCGAAAAGGACGGAGGCCATAAGGCTCTTTTCTACGAGGCCCGACGCACACAGGGGAGAGGATCCCCTGGAGCCCTGGAAGGACCATCTGCCGTCCCGAAGCGACCACGTGATGGACCAGACGAGGAGCGCCACACGCTACATGTCCTTGTCCCCTACGCGGGGGTTGGCGGAGCTGGCGCCGTGCCCTGCGGATAGACGAGAGGAAACCTGCGCCGCAGCACCTGACCAGCGTTCGCCCGGGGCTGCCGCGAGCGCGCGCCCGACCGACCGCGGAGCCGTGACCCCATCTCGGAGCGGCCGGGAGCGCCGACCGATGCCCGACCGCATGCTGCCGTCGGCGCCACTGCTGCAGACTGCACTGCTCCCCCCCGCCCAACCCACTACCGCCACGCCTCATCGCCACCGCCGCCGCCAAGGATCCAATCGTAAGTGCGCCCTGGTACGGTGTCCAGAGGAAGGCGCGATCAGTCGTCATCAGCATGGTCGGGGTTGACCGTTGGCAGCACCATCACCCAGCAGGACAAGAGAAGCACATTCGGCCTCTCCTCTCCCTCCTCCTCCTCCTCCTCGCGAGGCGAAGCCGGCCATCATACGACAAGCACAGACAGCCAGACCATGTAGGGACTCCATCGGTGGGGCTGCCTCGGGGGACAACCAGAGCGGAAGCGAGGAGGAGAAGGATGAGGAGGATAATGACGAGGCCACACACCAAGGAGTTCGGTGTGTAGACGGCCCAGCTCCCCAACCTGTGGGACGCTGGAGCGTTTATACACCGAAATCCTCCGCCAAAACCCTCAGCTCCGTGGCAGACCAAACGACATGGTGTATACATCGAGCCCCTCCGACGGGGGATGGCGGGAGGGTGGAGGGAGGAGGGGGACGGCGAGGAGGCGCGAGGGCGGTGAAGAGATGGAAGGCACGAGACCCACGCAGACATACTGACCACTTGCTTTGGCGAATCAGCACACAAAAGACATAATCAATGGCATCGGGGAAAACAGCCGAAGACCAACCGAGAGACCGACACGAAGGAGAACAACATGAGAACAACATGTCCCTCTCTCCGTTCCTCAATCGTTCTTCGTTCGTCGTTCTCGTCCGTGCCTTCTCCTCCCAACATGATTTCTCCATTCCCTCGCACTGTGTCCGATAATTCCTGCTCTCGCATTCCTACCCTGCGCATGCCATGTCTCGTCAAACCATCCATATGTCCATATGTGCTCGGTCGTCGTCCGCAGGCATGCGCGAAATGTCAGTGGCTTCTGCCGACGCTGTGGGCCGCACGCAGAACGCCACCGCTGCCCCGACGAGGACCAGAGAGTTGGACAGGATGGCGCTCAGCAGGGTGCCCAAGTCGGCATCGCTGTTGGCGGTCACCTGCATGGACTGCGGCACGCCCTGAGGGGCAGGCACCACGGCGGCGCGAAGATGGAAAATGACGACGAACACGTGTATGGATACCAGGCGCGGCTGCCGTGAAAGTCCCTGGTTGATGCAAGCCTCCCCCCCAAACTGACGCCAAGGCCCCTGACCTGACGCCGCCCCCGCCGGCAGTGGACCCGGCGCTTTTGAACGGAACCCTACGCCAGGCAGTTGACCTGACGCCACCCAGCCGGCACTCGCCCGGCGCGCGTCCGCCGCTCGGGCGAGAGTGCCGCTCCCAAGCAAGATCGTGGCCGGCGCTCGAGCGGCAACGCCACATCCGATAGAAGAGGTCCCCCGCGCCGATGCGGCAGTCCCGTTCGCAGTGGAGGATGCAGCCAGCGCGCAGGCGACCGCACCAATCCTGCGCAGAAGTGCGAGAAGCAGCGCGGGGGCGCGGGCAGCACTCCCAATCGGGGATGCGGCTGGCGCTCGAGCGGCAGCGCCGGCATAGCCAATTTAGGGATGGGGTCGGCGCTGGGGCCAGAGTACCGTTCCCAGTGATGGTTGTGGCCAGCGCGCCCAGCGCTGAGGCGAGAGTACTGTTCCCAGTGACGGATGTTGCCAGCGCGCAAGCCACAGCACCGATACCAGACAAGGAGGTGGACGCCGTTCAGGCAAGAGTACCGTTCTCAATCAGGATCGTGGCTGGCGCTCGAGCGGCAACGCCACATCCGATACAAAAGAGGTGCCCAGTGCTGAGGCAGGAGCACCGTTCACAGTGGAGGATGCGGCCAGCGCGCAGGCGACAGCATCACTCTTAGAGAGGGATGTGGCCAGCGCTCGGGCGAGAGCACCAATCCCAATCAGGGATGTGGCTGGCGCTCGAGCGGCAGCACCATAGCCAACTAGGGATGGGGTCGGCGCTGAGGCAAGAGTACCGTTCCCAATGATGGTTGTGGCCAGCGCGCCCAGCGCTGAGGCGAGAGTACCGTTCCCAATGACGGATGTTGCCAGCGCACAAGCGACAGCACCAATCCCAGAAAGGGGTGTCGCCCCCGCCGCCGCCGTCGTCATCGTCGTCGCTGCCGCAACCCCCGCCGTCGTCGCTAGTCGTTTGTCGTCGTCGTCACCGTCGTGGTCGTCGTCGTCGCCGTCGCCGCTGCCGCCGTCGTCGTCGTCGTCGTCGTCGCCGCCGCCGCCGTCATCGTCGTCGTCATCGCCGCGGCCACCGTCGTCGTCGTCGCCGTCGCCGCCCCCCTCGTCGTCGTCGTCGTCGTCGTCGTCGTCGTCGCTGCCGCCGCCGCCGCCGCCGCCACTGCCGTCGCCGCCGCCACCGCCGCCGTCGTCGTCGCTGCCGCCGCTGCTGCCGTCGCCGCCGCCACCGCCGCCGTCGTCGTCGTCGTCGTCGTCGTCGTCGTCGTCGTCGACGTCAACGAAGCAACATCCGCCATCCCCAGCGACACGTGGGGCCAAAGGCTTTTGATGCCATGCTTTTATCTCATATTTCTGCCACTCGACTTCCTCTAAGGTGACCGGCGCGCGCTCAAGCGTAAACTCCATTGTGAACGTCTTCGCGCCGCGAGCGCTCAAAAACGCCCACCGGCACCGCCATTCCTCTGGCCAGGGTGCCACCGGAGCCCACCAGCTGCGGGGCCGGCGTCAGGTTAGGTGCCTGGCGTCAGGTTAGGGGGGGGGCTTGTAAGCATACTGCCTGGCCTGTCTGTCCACACTGTTCATTTTGAACTGCGATCCTTTCGCGTTTTCCAACTCCCCCAACCAGTGCTTGCACCGAAGGGGTCCGCGCGGTTACTGTAAAGAATTGGCGGAATGCGCGCAACAAATTTCGGCAGGCGGCTGAATTCCTGGGTTTCTGGTTCTGGCTCGCAAGTTCGGGGGTTCACGAATCCAGCTGGGTTCCTGGATTCCCCAAGAGTGCAGACATAGTCGAGCGTAAGCGGTAGAGAGCAGGAGTAGGGGGTAAAAAATACATGGAAGGCCGTAGAGATCAGGAGGGGGTAGCAGGGAGTAGAGGACCCATAGCAGAGAAAGTTGAGGGTAAAGGATGGAGGGTAGAGTCTATAGTCAGCGACGGGGTGGGCACATCGTAAAGAGTCGAAATCAGAGAAGGGTCTGCCGAAAGGATCAGAGAACAGAAATCCGAACGCCGAGAGAAGGATTGGAATCTCGATGGTCGTATCCACACTAATGGAACTCTCGCTGTCCTCAACGCATTGACATCATTTCGCCCATACAAACCATTACCATTCTGTCTCGACCTGCTCCATAAGATCCGCTTCGCGGCGTCTGCTTCGTGCCGTTTCCGTTTCTGTTCTGGCCAGGCAGCCGGAACCTCAAGCCCTGGCCCCCATGGACATGACATGATCGACGCGTGGAAGCTCAGACCTCGTGGCTCAGATCGGCGACATCAGCTCTACGGAGAGGCGAAGTCCAGACAGAAAGGCCAAGTCCAAACGAAATAGGCACAGACGGAAACCGAGCACCCCGTACGGACTTACTCTGTATGGACTTAGCATCCTCCGAAGCCCCTCCGTCAGCGCACATGAGCACGCGTCACCGGTATAGCTCGGGCGAAACCCCTCGTGTCGAGGACCCCGTCGCGCCGCGGCCGCCCCCCTGCGCCTCGAGGGCTCGCCACGCGGACCGCGGGCGCCTCGCGAGGAGGCCCGCGAGCGGACGGCGCTGCGAGTGACCGTAGGGAAAACACACACTCTGTAGGGAAAAATATACAAAACACACACACACACACACACACACACACACACACACACACACACACACACACACACACACACACACACACACACACACACACACACACACACACACACACACACACACACACACACACACAAAAAAAACACGTGTTTTCCCCACAAGACACGTGTGTTTTTTCCACAAAACACGTGCTTTTTCCCCACGTGCGTTTTTTTCCCCACGGTGTGTTTTTTTCCCCGCAGCCCGTGCCGGAGGCAGGCCGTCCTGGCACACGTGGAGATCTTGTGGCGCTCATGGGCCCACGGGCTTGCGGGGGGGGGCCACCAGGCCCGCCGAGGACATCTTTGGGCTCCATAGGTCACCTACCGGGAGGATCGGCTGTGCACTCCTGGCAAAGGCTGCACCTCCGTGTCTCTCGAGGCGGCAGGTTTATCGCACACTGGACCTCGCACGTGCGACGTCGATCTGGAAAGTCAGCTGACCGAGGCGAGTGAACTCGGCAGAGTGCCAGCATCTCGAAGAGCGAGATACAAAACGTTCCATATTGTACGCCCGCTGACTGATAGCTGCCACACGTATGTCTCTCAAGCAACGCAGGGTGTCTATGATAACGACATGCCCATGTTTGCTCGTAATATATTGCAGCGCGCTGATTGTCCGGACATGTCCGCGTCCTCCTGCGTGGCAGCTCCATGGAGCGCTACGCTCCCCGCGACGGTGGGAACTATAACACCACCAATATTCGCAGCGGCGAATGTTACCTCACTTCGGCACGAAGTGTGCCAAGACATTGCCAGACGCCCATCTACACACAGATTCGCATAGGCATGCAGTCTGAGAAATACGCGCCCCACCCCCCCCCTCCCAAGGGCCCCTGGGGAGTCAAGACAGCCCGGCGGACTCCAGAGATGGGCTCTGTGGGCCGCAGGGGCCCCCAAGAAGTCCAATCTTGTTCCCCGCGTTGATTCAGCAATGGCTGGGCTTGGGCCACATCGGGGCAGCAAAAAGGGCAACGGCGGTGGTGACTGGCTGGAGGCGTCTGCGATCCGCGGCCCCGTGGTCTGACATAAGGGTACCTTAGGGCATGCATGGCTCGTCCTGCATCTTACACGTCATCTGTCTTTGGCTTCATCACCGTGACCTGCACATACCCTCTGGCCACCATCGCCAGAGTTCGCATGTCGTTGAAAACAGGTTCGACGAGTTGCAGAAGTAATGCAACTACCGTCGTTGCCAAGATCGCGGTTCGACGTGATCAAGCTGCGCTCAACGATTCGATCTGTTTTTGGGCTCTCTGGCGGGTTCTGGGGGGCAAGGGGAGTGATAATACTTCGGCAGTTGGGCGTAGCTTCAAGAGAACCTGCTGGACACTGGACGGGCCATGACAAGACAAGCGGATTCAAAGGGGCCACAAAGGATGGCAAAGTGTGTCCCAAGACCAGGTGGTGGTGCCCTCAATACAGCCAGGGGGAACCCCAGGAGGCCGCCGAGACGGCCCGAGAGGCTGCAAGAGCAACCCCCAAGTGGCCTCTCGAGGCGCCGACGAAGGCCCCCGAGGAGAGGCTCTCCATGAGAGGCCTCGGACGGCAAAAGGCAGTAGAAGCGATGTGATTGAACAGCGCGTCTTCTCAGTGAGTTCTGCCTCCTAGACTTGCTGGCCCAAGATGTATCTCTAAGGGGGCTCGGGAGGGACCCGAAATGGCCGAAGCGGACAGCATGACAGCTCAAGGGGGCCCGCGTGCACACGCATGCTGGCCTCACAAGGACAGACACCTGGACTCACTATCCAGGGCTTGCACTCGCTCAGAGGACAGCGTTGTTGGGAACTGCTAGGCTTTCGAATTATCCAGCCCTGTTCATATGGAGAGGGATGGAATAAGAGGGCGAGAAGAATGCGGAAGGTGAGAAGCGGGCACTTTTCCACGTTCAGATCAATGCCTGCAAGGACTGTGCTCCTCGTCGAAAGCCCTGTATGGACCAGCTATCCGCTTCCCGATGTCGCAGAGCCAGTCCGGGACTTCCGCCCTGCACTTCGGCATGAGGTCCGCACTGCCGTTCACGTCGAACACCCTGCCGCCGCGCCTGACCCGTGCGGACGGGCGTCCACCTGCTTCCTCGACCGCCACAAGCGCCTGGTGCAGAGACAAAGCGGGTGCGCTGAATGGCACGAACCTTGCTGGCGGGCCGTGGGGCCAGTGAGGCGGGCAGATCCACAGGGCGGGCTCCGTTCCCGCGCTGGACACGAAGGAACGGGTGCTCGGCGAGAACAACACCGAGAGGTCGACCTGGAAACTCTGCAGCTCTGGCGTGCCGGTGTCCATCACTTGGACGACGTCGCCCAGGAACCCGAAAAGGTCAAGAGGAGTCAGCAGCAGGTGGTTCGGGTGCGAACCCTCGACCCGCAAGTTGGAGAACATGGCATACGCGGGATACGTACGCAAGCCCAGATAAGGCGACACTCCGATGACGAGAGCGCCCCCTGCGCACGCCAGGGTGGCTACCGCGCAACCGCGCTCGACGCTACTGCTGACGCCACGCGTTGCGAGGCCCGGCGCCAGTACAGCTGCACCGACCAGCATACCTGCCAGCGCAACGTTCCAGCACACCCCCGCGTCGTAGAGGTCATAGGGCGGGTACTCGAACGGGGCCCCATTCTCCTCGCCGTGGGCAAAAAACATACCGTATCCACGGCCTCGCAGGCCGGGCCCCTGGGCCGAGACTCCGCGGATACGGGGCATCTTTTCGCGGATGCCCCGCGCGGAAAGTGTCCGTGCCACCGCGTGTCTGCGGGAACGCGCCCCGGAGTCCAGACCGCGAGGGCGCGGATACGAATACGCAGGTTCGCCGCTCGTGGTCCTCGCCGTTGCGGAGCCAGCGTGCCCAGCCGTGGGAGGCGTTTGCAGCAGCGAGCGCCGCCGCGCAGGCGGGACCCACCAGCGGGGGCGATGCGCGGCACAGCGCCGGCAGCCGGCGCCGAAGCGCACCGCGGCCGGCCTCGAGGGCTCCCGGCACCTGCAGCGCGAAGAGGGCCAGGCAGGAGGCGCTGAAGGGGTAGAAGGAGGACGGCGGCAGCGGCAGCGCCAGCCCCAGGTGGAAGACTGCGCCCAGCGCCACCGCGGCACGGCGGCAGAGCTCGCTTCCCCGCCACGGTGCGCAGCCCGGCGGGCCCGCGTACGCGAACAGTGCGGGCAGGGCCACCTCCAGCAGCACAGCGCCCTGGGGCGAGGAGCGCATCAAGAGCTTCACCGCCTCGGAGCGCGGGTGAAACAGTGAGGGGGCGTACTCCGCCAGCAGCCCCACAGACACACCGGAAGCGCAGGAGACGCTGTCGTCGAACCAATCACGGTTCAGCTTGTGCAGCGCGCTCACGAGGTACAGGACGATGAGGTAGTGGTGCGCTGCGTGACACAAGGCGCGCACGCGACCCCTGCCCAGAGTGATGCCCGGTGCTGCAACCAGAGCAATGGCCAAGTTGATCAGGAGATCCTGGACGATATGGTTCGATCGGGAGCCGTAGAGCGAAAGGTAGACGCCACTCCCCCACGCAGCAAGCGGCAACGACCTCTCAGCCCATGGCACCACCACAGCCGGCAGCACCAGCGCCAGGCAGGCAACAGAGGCCAAGAGCTTCGAGGAGACGAAGCCAAAGCTGCCTGTAACAAGTGCGTCGGCTGCAGCGAACGGGTTGCACACAACGAAGCGCACTGCCTCCAGCACGGCGAGGTCTTTGGCAAAGTGCGCCGCCTGCAGCAGCCCCCAGAGCAGCGTGAATGCGGCCAGCACCGCCGGCTTCTCCTCCTCGCTGGCGCGCGACCCAGCCCGCGCTTCGCGGCCCGTCGCTAGCCCTGGCTCCTGGCGCTGCGGTGCAGCCTGCCTTGGGGGAACAGACAAAATGCATAATCGTAAGCTTTCGGAGGTCCGCTGGAGCCCCCTGGCGCGCTCCAGGCGCACCAGAGGGGGGTCCAGCGCCGATCCGAAACCTCCGCGTTGCTCCTCGATGCCTGGGTTCAGGTTCCCGCGCACGCGGCGGGAGCTGCCTGTAGAGGCCTCCCTCTGTCCGAGCAGATGCGGTCGGAGGACTGCGCCGCATCGCCGATACAGCGCAGATGCATCGGCGATGCATCGGCGATGCATCCGCACCGTCGGCGCGGAGCACACCAGGCTCCACATCGAGCCGCGTCGCCGAGGCCTCGGCGAGGCGGCGCGGTCCTTCGACCCCAGCTGCTCGGACCCCGTCTGGGAGGCCTCGAGCCTGGGCTGGCTCTGGGCGGGCGTGCTGGCCCGCGCCGCGCCCCCGCCGCCCATATGGCGCCGCTCCCCCGCCGCCGGCGCGTGGGGCTGGCCGCGCGGGTGCTCTCGCTCGAGCAGGGGCGGCCCCTCCGGTCGAAGGCAGGGCCGGGCCAGGGGCAGCGTGCTGACGCCTGGGGGCGCGCAAAAGGGGGGGCTCTGATCGCGCGGAGCCTCGGCGGCTGCGGCGGGAGCTTTACCAGCCTGGGACATATCCTCATCCCTATGTTGGGCATCGCCTCATCACGATGGCGACCTTAGGGATTCCCTCAGTTTCTGAGGGTGCATCCCTGATGTTGTCATCGCCTCTTGGCGTGTCAATCTTAGGGATAGGGATACGTTCGAGGCTGGTGAGGGCTGCCTTGCCGTCCGGAGTTTCTCCCGGGCAGGTTCTTGGAGAGCTCTGAATGGGTCTTGGGAGAAGAAGCCGGCAGAGGCAGGGCCAGGCCGGGGCCGAGGATGCGAGGCGAGGGTTGGCCCCAAACGGCCGCCTGGGGGGTCGATCGCGGGTGACCTCGGCAGGCGGTGGACACGGGCATACATCTTTGTTATTCGTGCATATACATGTCTATGACCATATCCACATCCATCGCATATACATGTCTATGACCATATATCCATATCCATCGCCTGCCGAGGACTCCGAAGCTCGACCCCCAAGGCGGTGGTTGAATCCGCTGGCCCTGATGGCGCGTGCGAGAGGCTGTCGTCGTCCTCGTCGTCGTCGTCGTCGTCGCCGCTGCCCCTTCCCTTCCCCTAGGCTTAAGTCGGGCGTGTCCCCTACAAGGGGATTTTCGACGAGAAACAAAAAATACTCAACAACTGCTCCAAAATGGCCAAGAATATTCTAAAACAGGTTCCCAGACTATTTTTTTTAACTATTTTTGAATATCCCCCCTGTAGAGGGACAGGCCCGGCTTAACCCTAGGCCAACCTTCAGCGCGCCAGCTCCCCCTTTCACCAGGCCTTCCACCTCGACCACGCCAGCCAAAGGGAAACGGAGGAGCGTCGTACTTGAGCCGAAGGGGAGCCCGTTCCGATCCCTTCTGCGCCAGGGTCGGGAGCGGCCAAGAGGGGGGTGTCCAAGAGGGGGGGGGTGCAAATCATGACCGGCGGCATGTGCGTTGCCCAGCGGGGGGAACCAGGGACGTAATGAAATAAGAAGAGGCGCCATGAAATCTGGGGAAATATCATGGCCCCCGCCATGATATCCCCCCCCCCCCTAGTCATCCCCCTCTTTGCCGCCCCCGACAGGGGGGGGGCGGGGGGGGTGAGGTGGGGGGCTGGGTTAGAATACGCTCCCTACCCGTTCCCTTTTCCACAAACTGTCGGCCCCATTTGGCGCTGTTTCGGCAACTTACTTCCAAAACGGTCGTCCAGGAGGGTCCCCAAACGGCCCAAGGTCGCTCCAAGACGGCCCACGATGCCCTCGAGAAAGCCCTTGAACCCTCACGATGCCCCAAAAGGGCTCCAGCAAGAGGACCCCCAAGAGGGCCCCAAGAGGCAAACACCGATGATCTTCCTGACATGTTTCGATGCTTTTCGCGTTCTTGCCTTTTTGGGGCTTCCGATGCTCCAAGACGGCCCAGGAAGTCCCCAAGTAGGGGGCAAACAAACCTACCTCGCTTTTGACCACCCTCGCTTCCAAGAGATACCAAGCGACGCCAGACTACGACCTGTACTGGTCAGGCCGCTTGACGAGGAGGCGCGTGGTATGACTTGGGTTTGCCTGGAAGCGAAAGCGGGGTAGGTAATTCACGCTCTGACCAGGGTCGCCCCAGGACGTCCTCGCCCTCCTCGCGGGCCGCCTCGCGGGCCGCCTCGCGGGCCGCCCGGTCGGCGGCCGAGTGGCCCGGTGGGGCCGCCGAGCCTTGCTCGGGTCGTCGCCCGAGGCGGAGAAGCTCTTCACCACGGGCCTGCTGGGCGCGTGCCCTCCTCGCTGCTCCTCCTCGCTGCTCCGCGCAGCTCCGCGCTGCTCCTCCTCCGCGCTGCTCCTCCTCCTCCTCCTCCTCCTCCTCCTCCTCCTCCTCCTCCTCCTCCTCCTCCTCCTCCTGCTCTCCTCCTCCTCCTCCGCCGCCTCCTCCTCCTCGACCTTTCCTGCTCTCCAGCTTCTCGACCTGCTGCTGCTGCTGCTGCTGCTGCTGTTGCTGCTGCTGCTGCCCCTCCTCCAGACCTGGCGGTTTTGCGTGTGTTTCCCAAGCGTGCTGGCTTTGGCTCGTGGCTTCCCTGGCTTCCCTGCCCCCCCCCCCCTACCCCCCCTCAATCCCCTCCCCCGCCCTTTTTCAGCATCCTGCCTTGTCATTGTCAGGGGGCTCAGCCCCACCCTCGTCGCCGCATTGGGCTCGACTCCTTCCTTACGAACACGCCGTCAGTGTGTCAAACTTGCATGACGATTGAGCTTTCGCTGCGGCGTCAGTCTGAGCAGGAAATTCGTTGCCATTCAGGGTGGCGAGATCTTGCAGCAGCGTTGGCCAAACATTGCAGCGACCACTCGAACTCCCCCAAAGACATGGTAAGCATCACCACATCACGCAAATGATTGAATGATGGAACCAGCCCGTCGATAGACCAGTGGGGCATTCGTGGGCGGTTGGGCTGGAAAAGTTCAGGCGGCCAAGTTCCTCATTTTCCCTCGTCTTTAGGGGCGATTGGGCTCCTCTTTCCATCCCGTGTGTGACGAAGCATCACTGTCAAAATAGCACGGGGTCGCCACAGACGGGTACGAGCCAACCATGTCCGAAGCAGCACATGGCCAAGCCAGCCACGATCGAGCCGAAGCGGAACGGGGCCAGGGCAACAACACAGGCCCAAAAAGGCAATTCCCGACGGGAGCAGTATTGAGTTCAAGGGCGGTCCCGGAGATTCGAGGTTGCGAAAGAACATCATCGCGGGAATCGCCATATGTCTGTGGCATTCTTAGAGCCGGGTCGATGTGTGATGGTCCCGGGGCTCGAAACGGAACGCTTGAAAGCCCCATGTGAAAGGTTGCAACGCCCGGAATTCAGGGAGCGAAGCTCCTCCTCCTCCTCCTCCTCCTCCTCCTCCTCCTCTTCCTCCTCCTCCTCCTCCTCCCAGTGTCGTGGCCCTCCCCTGGCCCAGCCCCAGCATGTGTTTTCCTTGATGGGGCCTGCGGTGGCCCACCACTGGCATATGACCTTTTGTGCCAAGATCCGTATAGAGGGTGTGCTTCAAGAGCGGGCGCAGGGCTTTGTTCGGGAAGGGCCAGCTAAGGGACCTGGCGAACGAGTGCAAGCCCGCGAGGGGCGAACCCCCCAGTGGGATGGGCTCGTGGGTCCTCCGGCGCGTTTATGGAGGGAGGCCGCTCACATGGTGTCCCCCTGGAGCAGCGCGCCCCAACCGAGTCGGCTTGGGGTAATCCTGCATAATCCTCCTCCTCCTCCTCCTCCTCCTCCTCCTCCTCCTCCTCCTCCTCCTCCTCCTCCTCCTGGGAGCGTGGGGGCCCCGAGCCCCAGCGGGGCCCTTGGCTCCTGCCGCCCCCCATGGGCGCGTGGACGGCCCGAGGCCGGCGAGAGAGCCCGGCCGTCCGGGCCATCCGCGTGCCCGTGGGACAGCGGCGGTCGGGGGCTGCAAACATGACGACGGGCAAGTCTTCGCTGTTCACTGCCTCCTCCTCCTCCTCCTCCTCCTCCTCTGCTCCTGCTCTGCTCCTGCTCCTCCTCCTCCTCCTCCTCCTCCTCCTCCTCCTCCTCCTCCTCCTCCTCCTCCCCTCCGTGCTGGGAACCTCACCGGGCCTCGGGACATGCAGAAAACGGCTCGGGATGAGAAACTGGAACCAAGGGAATGGGTCGAGATGTTTGGGGGGTCGACGTCATGGAAAACATCATGACGTGACGTCGGGGGTCTGGGGAGGGCGCTCCCTGAGATCTGGGCGTTGCATTTGTTTGCGCACCGCGCGTTTTTGTCCCGTTTCGGGCGCAGGACCATCCCAGATCGATCTGGCTCGGAGAAACGTGGGGCAGAGAGAAAGGGTCTGGCGCTCCTGTCGTGATCGTTCGCGATGTTGCTATTCGGCAACTTCTCGAAGCCCTGCACCCAAATATGCTGTAATCTCTTGGGGGCGGATCTTTTACTTCAGCCGGCTTCTGCCAGCCTTCCGCCAGCCCTCGTCGGTGGAGGCGCTTTCGTTTTTCTTCCGCCAGCCTGCGCTGTTGCCGTCGAGGAAGAGCAACGTCGGATCTCAGGGTTGGGGGAGAGACACAAGAGAAGGGCATGAGCCTCATTTCTCGGAAGTCCGTGCGGATTTCTTGGATCAGATCGGCGCTGGACCCCCCTTTTCTGGCGAGCTCCGCGCGCCAGGGGCGGCGCCAGTGGGCGCCACCGGGGGGGGCCCAGCGCCGAAAACAAGACATCCGCGCGGACCTCCGAGAAATGATGTTAATGCAGTTGATGTCCTCCTTCGATGAGAGGTAACAGGCCATATGTCGACCCCTATCCCAGACATCGTGGGGTTTTCGAATGAAGCAGAAATTTGAGCCCCAACCCTGGGATATATACGATTGGGGGGCGTTCATCCTCGATGATTAGTGGTGCGTCCGAATAGCCCCCTTGGGGAAAAGCGGGGTATAGTTAAAGCCGCCGATGCTGAGCATGTTTTGCCCGCATCGACTGCATCCCAAAATTCGTACCCGCCGCCACGTCCCCACCACGTTCCTGCACCCCCGCGCCACGAGGGTTCAGTTCTTCGGACACCCCCTTCTGTCTCGAATGGAGACAGGCCGCGGCGGCGTGGACAGCGAGTCCTGTTCAAAGTGAACAGGATCCGCTGCTGGGCATGGTACCCATCCTTCCAGTGCCCATTTCGCTCGTGCAGAGGATTGGGGGAGGAACGTCGCCTGCGAAGAGGAGGGCCGAGCTCCGAAAGCCCCGACCCTGGGATATGTACGATTGGGGGGCGCTCATCCTCGATGGTGGTGCGTCCGACTAGCCCCCCGTGGGGTGTCCCCCAAGGTTCCCCTCTCTTCCCGAGCGGCCGAACTTCTCCGGCGACGCTCGGGGATTGGGGGAGGCACGCCGCCTGCGAAGAGGAGCGCTGAACTCCGAACAAAAACCCGACGCCCCCCCGCTGCCCCTCGAGCTGCCCGACCCGTTCCTGCGCGAGGGCAGGGCTCGTCGGCCGGGGCACGCCGCCACCCGCCCGACGGCCGGGCGGGCGCGGTGGGCCTCCTCCTCCTCGGGCCCCTCCTCGGCCTCCTCCTCCTCCTCCTCCTCCTCCTGCCTCCTCCTCCTCCTCCTCCTCCTCCCTCCTCCTCCTCCTCTCCTCCTCTCCTCCTCCTTCCTCCTCCTCCTCCTCCTCCTCCTCCTCTTGCTCCTCCTTCTCCTCCTCCTCCTCCTCTTCCTCCTCCTCCTTCTCCTCCTCCTCCCCGAGGAAGAAAGCACGGCACAGACCCAAACTCGCGGAAACCAGGGCCTTACGATCACTCGATCCAGTCGAGCCAGGCCGACCAAGCAGTGAGCCAGGCACAGGTGGGAGGTCCCTGGACCCGGCACGCCGCCCTGCAGAGGTAGCAAGTGCATGCTGGACACAATCAGACTGGGAAGGGCAACGCCTGGGAGGTCTCTGTCAGACCGGCGAAGTGCTCCTAACTAAGCCTGACGAGGGGGCCACTGAGAGCCGGATCAGGCTGGGTGAAGACCGGGACGAGGCCGAGGGTGGAAGCTCGGCACGAACACAACCGGGCGGAAACCCGCTCTCGGATTTCTGGGGTCTCGGGGGGCAGCTCCTCGGCGGTTCTCGTCAGCACGACTGAAGGCTCTTGAACCCGACTCAGGCCTCCCCCTCCTCCTCCTCCTCCTCCTCCTCCTCCTGCTCCTGCTCCTCCTGGTCCTCCTCCTCCTCCTCCTCCTCCTCCTCCTCCTCCTGCTCCTGCTCCTCCTTCTCCTCCTCCTCCTCCTCGTCCTCCTCCTCCTCGTCCTCCTCCTCCTCCTCCTCCGGCGGCGCCCGCCGCGCGGGGCGCCTGTCGGGGGACGCCGACGGCGAGAGCGCGTCCCAGGGCGACCACCGCCCAGGGCTCGGCCGCAGGAGCTGCTGGACGTCGGCCGCGGGCCTCGCCGGCCGCGGGCAGGGGGCGGCGGCGGCGGCGGCGGCGGCGGCGGCGGCGGCAGGAGGAGGAGGAGGAGGAGGAGGAGGAGGAGGGAGAGGAAAAGGAGGAGGAGGAGGGAGAGGAAAAGGAGGAGGAGGAGGGAGAGGAAAAGGAGGAGGAGGAGGAGGAGGAGGAGGAGGAGGAGGAGGAGGAGCGGCGGCGAGCGAGGTCGCGCTCGGGGGCTCAGGCCGGCGGCAGCGGCGGGGACAGAGGGCCGTCAGAGCCATAGGCCTAGATTTTGGGCGTTGGCAGAACTGGGTTTAGTGGAACCTGGTTTGGTGATTTGTGCTGGGGGCGCTCCCCCGTTCCATGTCCACTACTCGCCATCGCTCGGACGTCCATTCCCTGTGTTTTTTTGGTTTCGTGCGTGGTCCGAGGAAAAACGCACACGTCCGAGCGATGCCAGGACTAACCGGAACTGCCGTCACCCGAAAAACACCAGTCACGGCAAACCTGGCTTAGTGAATCTGGCCCATTGAGGGGCCCCAGGGCCCTACCACTGACCGGGTCCCCTTACCCGGGGTCCTGGCTATACCCGATAGGTCTGGACTGCTTCAAACCTCGACCGGGATTTCGGTGTCAAGGGGTGCTGGCGTTCTTGTGTTAGCCCTCCTGTGAGGTCAGGGGGGGAGGGAACTGGGGAACAAACCAGGTTGCGTGAACACAAAAGCTGTCCAAGGCTCGCACGGCCTCTTCGCATCGGCGCTGGGGCCCCTTGGCAGCGCCTCCGGTGCCGCTCCTGGCGCGCTCCGCGCGCCAGGGAGGTGTCCAGCGCCGATCCAAGACAGCCGCGCGGGCCTCCACAATTTTCTACTTACCCACCGGTCGGAAGAAGTGGGTAGAAGCATGAAACAGGAAGGCAGAGGAAGCAGACTGGATGCGGGCCCGCCCCGAGAGTAACGATACGCAGCAGGAGCAGATCGATGCTTGGAGTAGGCAGGCGCGTGCAGTAGATCGGGCTCTGGGCATCCAGACATGCCGACTTGCAACCACCGCTGGGCATGCCACGGCCTGGTTCCCCGAGGGAGTGGGCTCTGGCCGCCCCTGCCTGCGACACGAGGCGCCCGTGCGGAGCTGCGTGCCGTGCCCGCCCCTGGTGGGCCTGGCGCGGCTGCTCCCCACAGGGGTGGCGAGGAGGAGGAGGAGGAGGAGGAGGAGGAGGCGGAGGAGGAGGAGGAGGCGGAGGAGGAGGAGGAGGGAGAGGAAAAGGAGGAGGAGGAGGAGGGAAAGGAAAAGGAGGAGAAGGAGGAGGAGGAGGAGGAGGAGGAGGGGGAGGAGGAGGAGCGGCGGCGGGCGAGGGCGCGCGGGGCTCAGGCCGGCGGCAGCGGCAGAGGCGGGTGGCCAGAGAGCACCGTCCCAGTTGAGCCCCGCCCCGCCCCGAGAGGCCCCCCACCCCCAAGACGGTCGAAGAGAACTCCACGCGGGGGGGGAGAGCACCGTCTCAGCAGGGCCCCGGTGCAGCCCGAGAGGCCCCCCATCCCCAATGCGGTCGCAGAGAACTCCACGCGGGGGGGGGAGAGCACCGTCTCGGTGGGGCCCCGGTGGAGCCCGAGAGGCCCCCCAGCCCAGGAGAGCCGTCTTGGGCGCCTCTTGGGGCTCGCTTGGGCGGTCTTGGATCTCTCCTGGGCCGTCTCGGTGCCCTTGGGGTGAGACCGAAGAGAACAGTCACAAACAATCGAACATCAGTGATGGTTGCTTGCTTGGGCCCTCAGAGGGGGCCTCTTGGAAGGACCCCACGACGACCCTTCAGGGCCACAGGAACGCCCCAAGACGGTCCAGAGAGGCGCCCATGACGGACTCGGAAGGCGCCAGGCGGCCCAAGAGCGCCATGAGATGGCCCAAGGAGCAGCCCAAGAGCCCCCGAGAGGCTTCCACTGCGCCTCCAGCAGGCTCCCTGGCAGCTCCCAGGACGGCCCCTCGGGCCACAGTGCACCAAGAGGGCCTCAAGGGACCCACAAGACTGCCCCGCGGGTGCCCTACAGACGGCGCCAAGACGGCCTAGAGCAGCCCCATGAGGGCTATTCGAGGAGTTAGGACGAGACGTGTCACACGTGACGGCCTTCTGGGTAGTAGTGCTCGACGGGCCGCCACACAGAAGGGCCGCGTCAACACGGCGGTGGCTCTGCCGCGGGCAGCCGGACATACCAGATCCTACTGGCGCCGAAACTGCAGATCCCATATCAGCTTCAAGTTCAGCTGCGTCTCCTAGAGCAACTCCTGGTACAGCCCATGTTGTGAGTCATGCTGCAGCGCCTCGTACACCACACTATCCCACAACCATTGAAGCTTGTACTCTACATTGTAACGAACAACAGTGGGACGAAACCCGACACATTCGATGATTGAAATACGAAAGGGACGAACAATCACTCCACAATAACAAACTTATGAAGCGTGCGGTTGGATCAAGACGGACGTAATGAAAGACATGGTCGGGCAGATGATGCAAACGGTGACCCGTTCAAGCCGACAGGAACGAGGAATGAGAGGAGGACACGAAGATAGGATTGTCCCACAACGTTGTTTTGTCACATGTCAGGAACCGTGCAAGGGGGGGTGGGGGTGAGGGGCGTGCCGATGCACGCCTCAGGGGACTTGTCAGGGGACGTGTCCAGGGACATGCCTAGGGACGTGTCCAGGAACGTGTCGGAAGGGCATGCCCGCGGAGCGCATATTGGAACGTGTAAGGATGTGTGCCTGGGGACGTGCCAGCGGACGTGCCATGTGACGCATCATGGGGAGCGCCAAGGGGCGTGCCTGGAGACGTATCATGACGTATCAGGGGATACGCCAGGTGGACGTGTGAAAGGGGTGCGTCAGGGACGTGTCGGGGGATGTGTTCAGGGATGGCTTTCCATTCGCTCGGCTGTTCAATGTTTTGCTGGGACAAGCTCGCTCCCCCTTCCCACCCGCAGAGACTGTGCTTCTGCCCAGCGGACCCCCCACCTCACCTGCTAATTCCAGCACGCAGCCAGAGCCGTCTCCCAGAGGCAAGGGCGTAGTGGTCAAGCTGGCCTGCCGACAGCAAAACCATTGGCATGCTCCTGGCCAGCGGGACCATCGCGCCTCCATGTTGCGCCTAGTTCTCGCCAGGCGCAGAACGGTGAGGACCGAGGCCTCTTGCGGCGGATGAATGCGGCGGGAGCGAAGGCTCGTCTCGTCCCCCACCGATTCACACATACACCCTGCGAAATGCTTAAGAAATCATGGGTTAAGAAATTCATAGTCTCAGAACTTGAATAAAAACCCAACATTTCCATTAAAATCTTAAGATTTACATTGAAACGTTAAGAAGCATCGCCTATGGTGTACAACCAATTACAATGTCGCAAGCGGCGGTCGACGCGGGGGCCCAGCCATAGTTCGACCCTCCGTGCCTCCTCCTGCCCCTCCCGGCGAGCACTGGGGCGGCGAGGGGGCAGCGGACGACTGGAGGGGGGCAGTGCGCTTAGAAGAGAGCTTCGAGAGAGGCGCGCCTGTGCAGCACGCTGACGTCGCCCTGGATCAGGGTGACGTCATCGGCGCACCTTCTGGGACTGTGCCCACCACGGGCCACTTCTCCATCCGAGGGTGGGCGGGGAGAGAGGGAGGATGAGGAGGAGGAAGAGGAGGAGGAGGAGGAGGAGGAGGAGGAGGAGGAGGAGGAGGAGGAGGAGGGGGAGGATGGAGGAAGAAGAGGAGGAGGAGGAGGAGGAGAAAGAGGGAGAAGAAGAGGAGGAGGAACAGCGGCAGTCGGAGACTTCTAACGCCATCAGGGATCAGGAATCAGGAGAAGGAGGAGGAACAGGAACAGGAGGAGGAGGAGGAGGAGGAAGAGGAAGAGGAAGAGGCCCAACAGCAGCAGGGGCAAGAAGAGCAGAGCGACGAGGAAACGGAGGAACCATGCACCCAACAAACACCGCCGCCCTGCATGCGCCACACAGGGAAAGACTCGTCCAAGCATGGCCAAGAGCTCCCCCTAAGCAATGCTGCCTGGCACTTCCTCTAGCAAGGACCCTCTGGCTGCCCTGTGTCGGAACTCTTGGAATCCCACAAGCCCTGGGCGATTCGGCGGATCAGCCCATCCCAAATACGACCCGACAATGCTGGGAGGTGCCGCCTCCTCCTCCTCCTCCTCCTCCTCCTCCTCCTCCTCCTCCTCATCCTCATCATCATCATCATCATCATCATCATCATCATCATCATCATCATCATCATCATCATCATCATCATCATCCTCATCCTCCGCTTCCTCCCCCCACTCCTAGCCCTTTCCATCAGGGTCGGCGGCACCGGCCGTCAGGCCTCTCCAACATGACCAGACGGTGCCGGGACGTGCCGCCGTACGCATGCGGACCGCAGACGCGATAGGGGACACCTGGGCTCCCGTGTCGGGCCTGGGGGCTCCTGGCAGGAAGAAGCAGGGCTGCGGCAGAGAGCAGAGGCGGGAGGAAGAAGAATAGCGTGGGAGGGAGGAGGAGCAGGAAGAAAATTAAGTTGATGATGATGATGAGGAGGAGGAGGAGGAGGAGAAGCAGGAATAACAAGAAGTTGAGGAGGAGGAGGAGCAGGAGAAGGAGGAGGACGTGGACAACGAGGAGGCAGTCGAAGAGTAGGGGGACGGAGCGCACGAGACGGAGAAGGACCCAGAAACAACGAAGAATCAAGCTCTCCAGGTCAACCCTGGGGGCGTCTCGTGGACCTCGTTCATTCTCTTGAGCTCCTCGGGCGACCTTGGAGGTCACTTGGGGCATCCCGGACATCTCTTGGGGCGGGGATCCTGAGGACCTCAGTAGGTGTGGACCCCTGGATTACAAGGGCCTCCTGGACTACAAGGCCACCCGACTACGAGGCAGCATCCACCATGGATGGTGCGAAAGGCGGCCACAAGGGTGCCACGGGCCAGAAGCAACCGGCGATGACCGACGGCAAGGCGCGCCTCCATTTACGCAGCTAGTTTCTAGGGCGGAGCCGTCGCATCTCCTTGGGGAACTCCCTCGTGGCTTCTGGGATCGGGCCCAAGCCTAGCGGGGCCACCTCCTCCTGCATCCTGCTGCTGCACGCTGCACCTCGTCAAACACTGCGGGCCGCTCGCGGAGGCCAACCACTTCAAACTTATCCTGGCGTAGGACCCAACCACGTGCAGTTGTGAGTACCGTCGTTGCGGGCATCGCCTTCGGTGGATCTCCACATGGGGCCATGAAGCATGCGAAGGGTGTACCGATGCGGGGCGGGGCCGCCATGTGGGCGCTGCCACCAGAACCTTTCGCGGAACCCACTATGGGGCTGCGAAACGTGCGAAGGGTGCGCCGCAGTGGGGCGGGGCCGCCACTGGGGCCTTCGGCGGAGCTGCATATGGGGCCACGAAGCGCTGTAATGTATAGGGGAAACCGCATGCGGACACCGCCACTGGGGCCTTCGGTGGAGCTCCCTGTGGGGCCATGAATCGTTGTACCGAGTGGGGGAAACGCATGCGAGTGCAGCCACTGGGGCCTTCGGTGGAGCTCCATGTGGGGCCACGAAGCATTGTACTGGATGGGGGAGACGCATGCGAACACCGCCATTGAGACCTTCGGTGGAGCTTGGGGCCACGAAGCGCTGTGCAGCGCTGGGGAACGAGCGCAGCCACTGGGGCCGTCGGTGGAGCTCCCTATGGGGCCACGAAGCGCTATACTGGGCGGGGGTCCCGCGTGCGATGGCAGCCACTGGGGCCCTTGGTGGAGCCCCCAATGGGGCCACGAAGGGCGCGGGGGTCCCGCATGCGAGAGCAGCCACTGGGGCCTTCGGTGGAGCTCCCTGTGGGGCCATGAAACGCTGTGCAACGTTGGGGTCCCGCGTGCGAGCGCAGCCACTGGGGCCTTGGGTTGAGCTCCCTATGGGGCCACGAAGCGTTGCACTGGGCTGGGGTCCCGCGTGCGAGAGCAGCCACTGGGGCCTTCGGTGGAATTCCATTCGGGGGCACGAAACGCCGTACTGGGCGGGGGTCCCGCATGCGAGTGCAGTCACTGGGGCCTTCGGTGGAGCTTCCCATGGGGCCACGAAGCGCTGCTGTACTTGGCTGGGGTCCCGCGTGCGAGAGCAGCCACTGGGGCCTTCGGTGGAATTCCATTCGAGGGCACGAAACGCCGTACTGGGCGGGGGTCCCGCATGCAAGTGCAGTCACTGGGGCCTTCGGTGGAGCTTCCAATGGGGCCACGAAGCGCTGCTGTACTTGGCGGGGGTCCCGCGTGCCAATGCAGCCACTGGGGCCTTCGGTGGAGCTCCCTATGGGGCCACGAAGCCCTGTACCGTGTTGGGGTCACGCGGGCGAGAGCCGCCACTGGGGCCCTCGGTTGATCCCCCCTTCGGGGCCACGAACGGCGTGGAGGTCCCGCGTGCGAGGGCAGCCACTGGGGCCTTCGGTAGAACTCCCTATGGGGCCATGAAACGTGTGAGGGGTGTGCCACTGTGACTCGTAGAAGTTCCCTAAGAGCGAAGCGGCGAAGCTAGAGAGTACTTCCGGCGCGCTTGGGGGCAAGTTGGCAAAACATCTCAACGGAAGGTTTGCATAATTTTGCTTGGTAAAATTCGATTTCTCGAAATTCCAAAATTCCAAATGTCATCTTAGCAGGTGATGTGGGTTTCTCGAACTTCACTCGAGCTGCAGATCAGCTACAGAACTGTTCGGCGCAGCAATCGAAAGGGAATCATCAGAAGCGTTAATCTCAAGTATCTAGATGCCTGAAATCGGTCTGCTACCAGAGCTGGGTCCGGAAACTATTCGTACCCTGCTAATTTCTTTTAGAGATGATGATGAGTTTCTTGAAGTAACTCGAGCAGTAGATGAGCTACAGAGCTGTTTGGCACAACAATCGAAATTATATGATTAGACGCGCTAATATCAAGTCCGACCTCGGTCTGCTACCATAGCTGGGTCCGACACACTATTTGTAGTCTGCAAATTATTTGGATATAACAATGGGCTGCTTGGTGTAACCCAAGCTACAGATGAGCTCCAGAGCTGTTTGGCACAGCAATCGGAAGCAAATCATCAGACGCGCTAGTCTCAAATATCTAGATGCCCGAGCTCGGTCTGCTACCAGAGCTTGGTCCGAAAAACTATTCGTACTCTGCACATGTTTTAGATATGAAAATGAGTTTCACGATGTAACCCGAGCTGCAGATGATCTACAGAGCTGTTTGGCACAGCAATCGAGAGGAGATCGTCAGAAGCGCTAGTCTGAAATATCTGGATGCCCGAACTCGGTCTGCTACCAGAGCTGGTTCCGAACAACTATCCGTACTCTGCTATTTTTTTAGAGATGCTGATGATGATGAGTTTCTTGACGTAACTCGAGCTGCAGATGAGCTACAGAGCTGCTTGGCACAGCAATCGGAAGCAAATCATCAAAAGCGCTCGTCTCGAGTATCTAGATGCCCGAACCCGGTCTGCTAACAGAGCTGGGTCCGAAACACTATTCGTACTCTGCTAACTTTCTAAGAGATGATGACGAGTTTCTTGACGTAGCTCGAGCTGCAGATGAGCTACAGAGCTGTTTGGCACATCGACCGAAAGGAGATCATCATAAGCGCTAGTCTGTATCTAGATGCCCGAACTCGGTCTGCTACCAGAGCTTGGTCCGAACAACTATTCGTACTCTACCCATGTTTTTAAAGATGAAGCTGAGTTTCTTGTTGTAACTCGAGCTGCAAATGAGCTACAGAGCTGTTGGGCACAGCAATCGGACGAAGATCATCAAGAACGCTAGTTGCAAGTATCTACGTGTTTGAAATTGGTCTGCTACCAGAGCTGGAACCAAACAACTATTCGTACTCCTGCTCCTCGTCCTCTTCCTCCTCCTCTTCCTCCTTCATATGCTTCTTCTCCTTTTTCTCCTCCTGCTCCTTCTCTTCCTCCTTCCCTCATCTTCCTCCTCTTGATCATCATCATCATCATCATCATCATCATCATCATCATCATCATCATCATCGTCCCTCTTCTCCCCCTCTACCCTTCCCCCTCCTGCTCGTCATCCTCCTCTTCCTCCTCCCCCTCCTTCTCCTCCGCCTGCTCCTTCTCCTCCTCCTCCTTCTCTTCCTCAGCCTCCTCCATCTCCTTCTCCTCCTCACTCCTCCTTCTCCTCCACGTCCTCCTCCATGAATCCGCACCCTCGCGCGCGCGCGGAATGCGAGATTGCCGCGCCCGCATTCCATTCATGTATATCGAGGAAACTCTACGAGTTCCCGGCGGTAGCCAAGGTTGACGGTTTACCGCCGGCTCCCAGTGAGGGAGTAGGGGGAGGAGGAAGGCGGAGAGGACAGGAGAGGGGGAGCTGCGGGGCGCTGTGTCTTCAAGACGAGGACCGAACACCACAGGATGGCTGGGCACATTCACTTCAACGACGCGACGCTGTCGGACTCTCGGGCCGTAGCTCGGGCACGCGTCGGCCGGTCGCCCCCCGCAGCGCTCAAGGCGAGGCGCAGCTACCGGACGGCGCCTGACGGCGAGGCTGGGCGAACCGACCCCCGACATCGTCCGATATGATATTTCCAGGCCGCGGCCCCAGAACTCCCGACACCCTCCCGGGGGGCAGGCTGAAACATGGCCCTCCAGATCCATAATGCGGGGATGACGATTAATAAAAATATTGGAGAGAACGATAAAAAAATAGTTTTCAGCTATTTCTGCATAAGTTTCTGACTGGAGGAGAACGATGAAAAAGTAATGTTCCAGCCCGCGGCCGGTTTTTTTCTAATCGTCATCCCGGGCGCCGCCGCGTGAACACGACCCCCGGCCATTTATGAATCGTCATCCTCCATTGATGGGCCCCTTCTGGACTGCTGACAACCTCGACTGGAGTTCGGACGTCAAGGGCCTCGTTCCATGTCCTGGCCGTGCTGGGAGGAAGCAGTCTCTGTAGACTCCGGCCAATTTTTACTGGCATGGGGGCGGGGGGCCGCGCGGAGAGGGGGGGGCGTGGGCGCGGCGAGGCTCGGAAGAGCACCTGAACTTCACGCTGAGTCGGGAGTGAGTCGCACGCCTTTGCGGCATGGCGCCGTTTGAACAACGGCGGCTGGGGGCCCTGACCTTCGATTCGCAGAGCGGGGAAACACACACTCCAGACCTCGACGGGATACTACATGTCACCATCCTGGTGCCATGTTCCACCGCTCCTGGAAAGGCAGAGGGGAAGGGGAGGGCGGGGAATGCCATGCGCGAAAACCTGCCAGAATCTCGATAAACACAATCGTCAACGTCTTGGGCGTCGCTTATTGGGGGAGGGGCGCGGAACCGCGGGGGACAGAACGGTGCCCTTTCCGGGCCTGCAACGCCCCACCTGGGCCCTCAAGGGCCCCTCCACGGGCCCCTTCACGGGCCCCTTTTCTGCAGCACCCGCTGTCCCCCCTCATTCATCGCCCCCCCCCCCCCCCAGTACGCGGCGCCCAATACATCCTCCAAGCCCGCCGATTCTCAGAGATTTCGGGTTATTCCGATCCGATTTTGTCCCCTTCTTCACGTCGTTTTACTCCCCCCCCAGTTACGCGCCCCACAACGTTTCACTACGCCCCCCCAAACGCCAGGGATCGTCCGCCGTCCGGCCCGTCGCTCGTCCGGCCGGTGCCGCGGCGGCCCGCGCCCCTTTGCACAGGGCGGCGGCACCTCCGCCCCGCGCCCGCCGCGGGCCCCGTCTGGCCGTGGGCGCGGGCGGGCAGGAGGAGGGCCAGGACGGCCACGCCCAGGGCGGGCGGCCACATCGTCCGCCGAGTGGGCAGCCTTGCGGGGGCCCCAGCGGACGGCAGGTGCACGAGCGCGCGCGCGCAAGCTTGTTTTGGATACTGTTGTTGCGAGACCAAGTGTTTTTGGAATGAAAACATGTTTTTGTCGGACATTCAATTCAGTTCGGGAGCCGCTACGAAGCCCAAGGTTTCTGAAGGACTTCGGCGTGCGCGCGCGAAAACGCGCGCGTGTGCACTTCGTCCCATCCTTTTTGTTGCAGAGGATTTTCGCGACGGCGCGCGCGCAAGGGCGTTCGAACGAATTCGACATGCGCGCGCGCGAAGCCCGCTCGGTAGCATTGACTGAGAATGCGACAAAAAACACCTATGGCTTCTTTAAGACTTCGCAAGAGCGCGCGCACGATTTTTTCATGGTTGTAAATTCGTGCTGCGAAGCCATATGTTTTCAAATGTTTTTGGGACACTCAATTTAGAATTCTTTCCGGAACCGGAATTATTTATGTATTAGGTGTGTGTGTATGTATGTATGTATGTATGTATGTATGTATGTATGTATGTAGCTATGAATATATATACATATATGTATACCGACATGCGCGCGCGACGACGCGCGCGTGCGCACTTCCTCCCATTTGTTGCAAAGGGTTCTGGGAAACTCATGGTTTGTGATGAACGAGTGCGCGCGCATAGTATTTCTGTTGCAATAGATGGCGGGGGAGGTCGAAACCGGCCCCCCTTGGACGGTGTAAGTTCATATTTAGGATGGACGATAGAGCAGAATCTGATGCACCTTGTAATACCAACACATTGACCAATAAACCCGGGGGAGATCCGAATTTTTGCAGAACGGAAAATCGACGTGGATGTGGTGCATTTTATGTTGAACAACCTATGTGGTGCAATCCACTCTGCTGAACTTGAAGTCGTCATCTCCACTGCTCGCACAAACATCCCACCCTCCCACCCGCAACTTGGTTTGCAAAACCTCTTAAGACCGACTACGACGACACCGACGACAACGACTACGACGACACCGACGACGTCTCCGACGACTTCGACGACGACGACGCCACCAACGAAGACGACGACGAGGGAGGAGGAAGGACGACGACGGCGACAACGACGACAACGACGACAACGACGAGGGAGGAGGGAGGACGGACGCCGACGACGACAACGACGAGGGAGGAGGGAAGACGACGACGACGACGACGACGAAGACGCCGAAATAGGAGGGACGACGACGAGACGCCGACGACGGACGACAACGACGACGAGGGAGGAGGAGGAAGGACGACCACGGCGACAACGACGACGGAAACGACCACGACGCCAAAGAGGACGATGACGACGAACACGAGGAAAGACAGAGGACGACGTAGGCGACGACGATGACGACGACGACGACGACGCAAGAGCGCGCGCGCACGCTTTTGTTGAAAATGCGTGTTGCGAAACCTTGTGTGTTTGTAGGTTTCTTTGGACACACGATTTTGAAATCCTTCCGAAACCAATAGGTTTTGAAAGATTTCGGCATACGCGCGCGACGACGCGCGCGTCTGCACTTCGTCCCATTTTTGCAGAGGCTTCTCGCGACGGCACACGCGCAAGGGCGTTCGACAGATTTCGGCATACGCGCGCGCGAAGCCCGGTTGGTAGCATTTTGTGAAAATCTTGAAAAATCTATGGTTGTCTTAATCTTTGACCGTCTTGAAGCTGTTCTCTCCACTGCTCCTGCAAACATCCCACCCTCCCACCCGCAACTTGGTCGCAAGACCTCTTAAGACAAGACCGTGGCGGTACGTACCACATGACACTTGGCCACGACACCGACGCCGACGACGACAGCGACGACGACGACGGCGCCGCCGACACCGACTACGACGACACCGACGACGTCTCCAACGACTTCGGCGACGACAACGACGACACCGACGACGACGATGACGACGACGACGTCAACGACGCCGACGACGACGACGACGACGACGACGGCGACTACGACGACATCGACGACGACGACGACTTCGACGACGACAACGACGCCGACGCCGACGACGACGATGACGGCGACGACGCCGCCAACGAAGACGACGACGAGGGAGGAGGAAGGACGACGACGGCGACAACGACGACAACGACGACAACGACGAGGGAGGAGGGAGGACGGCGACGACGCGAACGACGAAGAAGGAGGAAGGACGGCGGCGCCGACGACGACAACGACGAGGGAGGAGGGAAGACGACGACGACAACGGCGACGACGACGACGACGACGGCGACGAAATAGTAGGGACGACGACGAGACGTCGACGACGGACGACGACGACGAACACGAGGAAAGACAGAGGACGACGTAGGCGACGAAGACGACGACGCGGGAGGAGGGAGGGCGGCGACGACGACGACGACGACGCAAGAACGCGCGCGCACGCTTTTGTTGAAAATCCGTGTTGCGAAACCTTGTGTTTTTGTAGGTTTCTTTGGACACACAATTTTGAAATCCTTCCGAAACCGATGGGTTTTGAAGGATTTCGGCATACGCGCGCGACGACGCGCGCGTCTGTACTTCGTCCCATTTTTTGCGAAGGATTCTCGCGACGGCACACGCGCAAGGGCGTTCGACAGATTTCGACATGCGCGCGCGCGAAGCCCGTTTAATAAAGTGTTGTGAAAATCTTTAAACACCCATGGCTTTCTTAAGATTTCACAAGAGCTCGCGCGGAAGTTGTTTTAGCAAATCAGTGTTGCGAAACCCTGTGGTGTTGCATGTGTTTTGGAAACTCGATTGCGAAATCCTTCCGGCACCGAAAGCTTTTGAAGGATTTCGGCATGCGCGCGCGACGACGCGCGCGTGTGCATTTCGTCTCATTTGTTTTGCAAGGGATTGTGAAAAATTGTATGTTAGAACAAAAGTGGCACCGCATATTTTTTTGTATCAAAAACAACCTCAGAAGGGGGGATACCGGTTGGCATTTGACATTGTGATTTCATATTTCGGATGGACATGTGGTCACAATCGTATCTGATTTACATACCTGAAAGGGGGAGTGATAACGCCAGGGGGGGTAGATCCTATTTTGTTTTTAGCAGAGAGAACGTGAAACGTATGCCAATACAACACATATCACCGCATAGTGCTTTTTACAACGGAACCTCAAGGGGGGGATACCGGCCCCCCGGGGATAGTGTAAATTCATAGTTTAGGTTGATATGTGGTCAGAATCAGCAATGATTTACATACCCGAGCGGGGAACCGATAACTCCGGGGGGGGGGGGGGGTAGAACCTATTCTGTTTTAGTAGAGAGAATTAGTTGATTTTTACGAATGAGCTGACACATCCCATTCTCTTGCAAACATCCCACTCACCCATCCGCAACTTGGTTTGCAACACCCATGCGGTGGCTATTGCGATGCATGCTTGATGTTGGCTGGTGCATCTGTGCGGCCGCGCCAACCTTAGTACGCCCGCGCAGCGGCCAGCTAGTTTGGCGCCACCGACGCGGCCGCGGTGGCGCTGACCGCTGGGCGCATCCCAGCGGGCACTTTACTCCGAGTCGGCGACGTGGGGCGCGGTATCATGGCAACGCCGACTACGTAGACACGATGATGATAGTGGCGATGCTGGTGACGATGATGCCGCGCCCTAAACGGGCGCCGATGCTGATCACGCTGGCGACGATGACGGCGTTCTCGCGTTGGTAATGAATGTTGTGGAAAGAGTTCGAGATGCGCGCGCGGCCGACGCGCGAGAATGGCCCGCATGGTTTTGTTTGACACGTGTCGTGCCCCCCCAACACGCGCGCAAGGGCGTGCGAATGATGTTGGCATGCGGTGCCAGAGGCCCGTTTGGCAGAACTCCATGCGTATGTTGAAAAACCTGCGGTCCGTTCTAAAGAATTCGCAAGTGCGCGCGCGCAAGTTTTTTTTGAACATTGTTGTTGCGAAGCCTTGTGTTTTTGAGTGTTGAATGAATATTCGGTTTTGAAATCGCTACGAAACCAAAGGTTTTGTTCGAAGGACTTCGGCATGCGCGCGCGACGACGCGCGCGTGCGCACTTCGTTCCATTTGTTGCAGAGGATTTTCGCGACGGCGCGCGCGCAAATGCGTTCGAACGGTTTCGACATGCGCGCGCGAAGCCCGTTTGGTAGCATTTCCTGAAAATGTTGAAACACCGATGGTTATCTTAAGGATTCGCAAGACCGCGCGCACGCGTTCTCGTTGTTTTGAAACTCGTTTTGCGAAACGGTATGTTCTTATATGTGTTTTGGACGCTCGATTTTGAAATCCTTCCGAAACCAAAGGTTTTTGAAGGATTTCGGCATGCGCGCGAAACGACGTGCGCGTGTGCGCTTCGTCATGAAAACTTATAATCTTTGGCAAACGAATGCGTGAAATTTTGTTTTTCAGAGGATGCGGGGGGTCGATACTGGCTTAGCTGGGATGGAATGAGTTCAGATTTACGATGGACGATGGGGCAGATTCTATGTGGTGCAATCGCCGTGGTGCAGTCGACGCGGTGCAGTCTGCGTGGTGCACTCTACGTTGTACAATCTAAGCGGCGACGGGGCGGCGACGACGCGGCGACGGAGCCGCCAGACCGACACCCAGGCCCAGACGACGGGCGGCCACGAGGCGGCGACGTGGCGGAGACGGCGAGCACAGAGCCGCCAGACCGACACCCAGGCCCAGACGATGGGCGGCGACGAGGCGGCGACGTGGCGGAGACGGCGAGCACAGAGCCGCCAGACCGACACCCAGGCCCAGACGACGGGCGGCGACGAGGCGGCGACGGGGCGGCGACGGCCAGAGCGAAGCCGACAGACCAACACCCAGGCCCAGTTCCTTAGAATAGAAATGAGAGAACCTCAGTGCCAGCATTGTTTGGGGAATATACAGAAACGATCGGAGGTCCGCGCAGATTTCTTAGATCGGCGATGGACCCCCCCCCCTTCCCTGGCGCACGGAGCGCGCCAGGGGCAGCGCCGCAGGCGCCGCTAGGGGGGCCCAGCGCAGTTCTGGACATCCGCGTGGACATCCGAAAGCTAATGGTTATGCCGTTGTCTGCACTTCGATGGAAGGAGCGGGAGGAGGAGGAGGAGGAAGAGAAGCGGGGGGGCGGAAGGACGGACGCTCCCAGCGCGCAAGGGGCGGCATTCAGTAGGAACTGAGCGGAGCGGGCGCCGTGGCGCCGAGCATCCGAAGGGGGGGGGGGCAGAGGAGCCGGGTGATGAGCGGTGGAGGAAGGCGGCGCGGGGAGGAGTGGGGGTGGCGGCGGGGGAGAGGCTGCTGGATACGGCATCGAGGCGGCCCTCGTGCGAAGCGGATGACCAACAGATGACCGGACTCATCGCCAGGCCCGTGAGCATGGGCTGCGAACGCAACCCCTGTTTCGACCGCAGCCCCCCTGTAGGAGGTGGGGGGGAAGGGGAAGAGGAGCGGGGGCGGACACGGGGGGCGGAGGGGGCGCCAGGGGCGGCGGAGGGGCCCCGCACGCCGGGTGCGCGAGGAGCCCCGCTCCTCCCGCGCGAGGGTAGGCGGAGCGGGCTGCCCAGCGAGGGGCCCCAGGCGCGGAGGTGGGTTCCTCCTCGCCCTGGCGCTGCTGCTGCTGTTCTTCCTCCTCCTCCTCCTCCTCCTCCTCCTCCTGATCCTCCTCCCTCTGATCCTTTGCGTCTGCGTCCTTCTCCTCCTCCCCCGGATCCTCCTCTTGCTACTCCTCCTCGCCCTCCTTCTTCCTCCGCCTCCTGCTCCTTCTCATGCTTCTATCCCTCCTCGCCCGCCTTCCTCCTCCGTCGCTTGCTCCTCCTCCTCCTCCGCCACCTCCTCCTCCTCCTCATCCCTCTCTCCCTCCCTTCCAATCCACCCGTCCCTCTGGCCCATCTTTTCCTCGTCGTCTTCCCCCTCCTCCCTCTTCTCACAATGTTTCTCTTACGTATCCGTCCTGCGCATTTCAGTAAACGGACATATTTCAATAGGAAGGGGCAGGTGCCCATCTTCGATACATTGATATATTGCGGAGTCCTGAGGTGCCCATCGACCTCGATGGTGGAGAAATTGCCAGAGATGACCTCTGCAAAGGGACTTGGTTGCTGCTGCCACAACTTACATGTCCTTTTACAACTCTCGAATGACAGACCCAAATTCAGAGCAAGATACGCGATTGCGATGCGAGGCCACACATCGAATCGGTGGCACGGTGGGCGCTACTTGCAGTGCCAGCGGTCCAGTCTGAACATTCTGTTGCAACTACTGACGGTTAAGGGAAACCGAAACCCAGGCTGGACGGGATGCGTAAATGAGGGTGTACATTGGAAGCAGAGCAGAAGGGGAAACTAGAAGAGAAGGCAATTGGAAGGGAAACAGAGGGGAGGGGAACCGGGGAAGGGTAAGCGATGAGAGGGTACTGTCTCAGGAGAGAGGGGCAATGGAAACGGATGAGAGTGGACAAGTGGAAAGGCGACGCGATGAGAGGGGACCTTTTCCTCCTCCTGCTCCTCCTGCTCCTCCTGCTCCTCCTGCTCCTGCTCCTCCTCCTCCTCCTCCTCATCCTTCTCCTTTTACTCCCCCTCCTCCTCCTTCTCCTCCTCCTCCTCCTCCTCCTCCTCCTCCTCCTCTTCATTCTCCCTCCATCCCTCCTGCCTCCCTCCGTCCTCCATAATGGCGGGAGACTGGGAGACGGGAGCCGAGGTGGGCTGGACTGGGTGCAGAGGCGAGCTCAACTCGGGGCTGCCAGCCCGAGTCTGCGATGCGGCCGCGGACTGCCATCCGCCCCGCCCTCGGTGGCCCCGCCGCCTTCCCCCCCGCCCCTCAAACCCGACATCGATGATGATGATGATGATGATGATGATGATGATGATGATGATGATGATGATGATGATGATGATGATGATGATGATATTGATGATATTGATGATGCTGATGATGATGGTGATGGTGATGCTGAGGATGGTGAGGATGGTGAGGAGGAGGAGGAGGAGTAGGAGGACGAGGATACGGATGATTATGGTGATGACCATGATGATGATGTTGGTGATGATGGTGATGATGCCGATTATGATGACGACGATGCTGATGATGACGAGGTGGATGATGCTGATGATGATGATAATGATGGTGATGCTGACGATGAAAAAGATGACGATGGTGATGATGATGCTGATGATGGTGATGGCGATGATGATGATGATGATGACGATGATGATGCTGCTGCTGCTCACGATTATGATGATGATGAGGAGGAGGATGCTGATGATGATGATGATGATGGTGATGATGATGATGATGATGATGATGATAATGATGATATCGCCTTCCCGGCCCAGGTCCCAGGACCTTCTCGGGTCGGTCCGGCTCTGACAGCGGAGTGGACATATGTTGTCAGGAGCTCCTGTCGTGATGCTCTTTCTTTGCCTACGAGGCCGGACGTCGGGAATCGCTCCCTCCCCGCCGTCCTGCGATCAGCAGCAGAGCATGGCACGCGCAGAGTACGGTATCGGAGGCACGTAGGGATATGAGCCTGCACGGCTGCGGGCACGTCGGTGGATCTTCACCTAGGCGTCCTCTCCGAGCGCTCGTGCCTGCTGGACTGAGTAGTCCAGCGCTGCACTTCGGTGCCTTTCATGCTCTCTCTCATTCTCTCTCTCTCTCTCTTTCTCTTTCTCTTTCTCTTTCTCTCTGTTTCTCACTATATATACACATATCCATCAATATATGTACATACCTATTGATTCAAAAATGCGTATTCCCTTCTCCAATCTCTCTCACTCTCACTCTCTCTCTGTCTTTCTCTCCGTTACCTCCCACGCTACACCTATCTCCTGCCTATTTGCAACTGTTCCTACGTTTTCTCCCCCCAGCTACTCTCTCTGTCTCTCCGTCTCTCTCTCCCTCTCTCTCTCTCTCACTGCCTCTCTTGCGCTACACATACATCTATGCATATAAAAATGTGCACATTCCGATCTATTACTAAGAAATTAGCGAGAATCGAAAATCAAGAGGGGGTGTGCTGGAGGGGGGGCGAGGCATATCGCATATATATATATATATGTGTATACATATATATATATGTATATGTATACAAACACATGTAAAAGATTTGAAGTATGTCTCTCTCTCTCTCTCTCACTCTCTCTCTTTTTTTCTCTCTCTCTCTCTGTTTCCATCTTATCCAGCCTGCGGTCCCCTTGCCCGTGAGTCCCCCTGGTCGTGCGCTGCACGCCTCGTCACGCGCCGGGGGTTGTCGTCTTCTGCTCGCTCCTCGCTGCGTTCGCTGCGCCCCAGCAACAGGGGCTCCGCGCACCCGACGTTTGCTGCAAGGCGCCATCACTATGTCCGCATCAGTGCCTTATCTCTCGCTCACTCACCACCTCTACTGATCTCTCCTTATCTCTCTCACACTCTTTGTGTTCTCGCTCTCTCTCTCTCTTTCTTTCTTTCTTTCTCTCTCTCTCTCTCTCTCTTTCTCTTTCTTTATTTCTTTATTTTTGTTTTCTCTCTCTCTCTCTCTCTCCCTCTCTCTCTCTCTTATTTATTTATTCATATTTATTTATATATATATATATATATATACACTAGACACGTTCGCGCGCGCTCCGCGCGTGCTCAGTATCTCGGCAGCTCAAGGCGTTTGGATATCCTATACACGCTCTCGAACTGCCCTGCTCTTCTTACTCATCTGTCTATTGCTGTCGTCTCCCGTCCTGCTTCTTTGCGCCTTCCCCTGCCGCCTCTTGCTCCCTCAGCCCTCGTCCACATCATGGCCTCGTCGTTCCTCATCCCTCCCTCCCCCTCTTGTTTTCATCTCTTCTGCGTCACTGTGCTTTCGACCTCTCCGCTCCCCTCTCCCAGTCGTGCTCCTGCGTGCGTGCGCAGAGACAACACGCGGCGTCCTCCTTTCCGCTCGCGCGTTCTTCTCTTTTTTCTCCATTTCCTCCTCTTCCTCCTCCTTGTGACGGTGTGGGGTCCGAGGCCAATCTTCGAGGGCGACATCGACGAACTACTTTTCTAGCGCATGTGTGGGAACCTCGGGGGCGCATGACAGCCCAAGCAGCCTCCAATATGTCCAACAGGCGGCCCAAGAGTGTCCCAAGACGGCCCAAATAGCCCCCAAACAACGTCCAAGAGGCTCCCAAGACAGCCCAAGAGGATTCCAAAGGAGGAGGAATTGACACACCAACCAGAGAGGGGGTGCAGCTCCCATTCGACACGTCCTCTGGAGATTCCCCTTCTCCTGACGCTCCTCCTCCTTCGGCTCCTCATTTTGCCACATCTTGGTTCCCTCATCTTCTCCTCCTCGTGTTTTTCTGAAAACCCTCGGCCCACTTGCCAGCGATCCTGGCTTGTGGGTCGCAAGTCGTTTGGGTGTTCGTTGGGATGCCGTGTCAGGGTTGTCGGGGGCGTTTTGGGGGTGTTGAAGCCTCTTGGGCGCTGTCTTGAAGCCCTTTGGCGCGTTGTTTGTCTGTTCTTCCCCCTCGCTATTAGAAGCGGGCCCCCGCAACCGCATCGCAGAGCTGACCTAAAACGCAGCAGTCACGACCTCGCAATTCCTCACTTCTGGAGTGCCCATACAACTGTTGGGCAAGGTCAC